GCGACCATGAATAACACCATCTAATCTCAACACAAATTCCATGTTAAAGGAAATTGCAAATTCACAGAAAGATTTTTACTTTTGAGAGGATCATGAGAATTTAGTTCCTTTATCAGTATTACACAATACTTATGGATACTGTAAAGTAAGAATAAAGAATTAAACTGAAATTCTGAGAGGGAATTTGGAGGACAGACTTCATTTGCCAAAACCAAGATACGGTCCTCATATCCTGAGAAACTACAGAGAGTTCAGGACAGAGCCCTGCAGAGAACTAGGTTACTTCCATGAAGGCTTCCACTAACATTTCTGAATACCCCTAAAAAGCTTTTTGATGTAAACCCCACCTACCTTTAAAATAAAATATTTGTGTTAATATTTAGCAAACCATTATAAACAGAGGAAGCCCGAGGATTTGGAAAGGATTAAAATCATGCTTTGGGAGCTATTACTCTATCTCCTCTTCCATAAAAGCACCCGCATGATAGCAGTAAAAGGAAGCTGAGAACAAGGCATATTTCTTTTGAACTTTTATGATCTTGCTGCACTGTTTTATTGTTCAAATCAAGCATCCTAAGAGAACAAAAATATTTTAAATGAAAGATGTTGACAGGGGAAGTTGTTGTACAAGGTGTCAAGCATCTAATATCACAATCATGGACTGACACTGCTGTCCCCTCCCTTACACTCTTCCAGCTCACTTCCCCACTGAGTCTCTTTAGAAATACTGTTTCCTTCAAAGCCAAGTTAGTAAGGCCTTAAATGAAACACTTGTGTTCAAAAAAAAAAAACTAGCTTGGATCTGAAATGGATCCGCTAAACAGTACAGAAAAACCAAATAGAAATATTTGCAACATCATTTTTCTACTTACAGGTGTTTTGTTTTGTTTTTCCCAAAATAAGAAGACACCTACTACAAATTCCATTTTGGATGCATATCCATTCTCCAGAGATTCATATGCACCCCAAGTTCAGCATTTCCTACCAGCTGGAATTTGCTATGTCCCCACAAACCCTGAGAGGTTCTGTGGAAGTTGAACTCTTCTCCCTAATTGTCCAATGAATCTTACAAACCTGTTCCTTTTTTTCTAAGCAAAGATTAAGTTAGGTTAAGGATCTAGAAAAGTATCATACCCTTCTTATGTGTCTACCTCTGCAGAAAAGCAAAGTATGATCTTGTAAATGTATCCATCATGTTTCAAAGGAATTTTAGCAAAATCTCAAAGTTTTTATACCATAAATACAAAAAAGAATACCAGCAACTCACTTCTGTGGACTTGGCTTGGCCCACAAGAGCCCGCAGAAGTTTCCACAGTAAGGAACATAACATATAAAAGCTAGGTGTTATCTACATACTACACGATCCAAAAAAATCCAAATTCAGCAGTAACTTACAGACATTAAATATACCAGCTTCTACATGAACCAGATCGATACGTGACCACATTCATCTGTTTTGCCAAATTAAACATATTTTTTCATCATCTATATTTACTTATGTTCTGATGAGCTTTAGCCAAGAAACACAAATTTTGGGAATCCACATGTCTGTCATATGTCATATCATACTTGTCTTAAATCTGTAAGTCCTATTATACTTATATTAGAAAAATATGCAATGTGCCAAAAACGCCTCCAAAATAAAGAAACTATGTACAGGAGATCACACAAGAGCAGTCTGTTATTGAAGACTCCTACACCATCCTTAGTCTTTATCTCCCTGTTTTCCGCCTGGAGTATTTTCTCTACAGCTTTATCACTGATGCAACCAGAAAGAGTACTGCAAACAGCACCAATTCATGTAAGCAATAATATTGTTTCCTGAACTTTCAGTTGGCTAAAAGGAGGACTATCTTGAGGCAAAATACACTCTTGAATAATATATGGGCAGAAACGTGAGTACTGCAGTACAGCACAAATTCCGAATCGCCTGAATGACTTTTTTGTTTATTTACATTGGAAATATTTTAGACAGACAGGCTTTTAGAGGAGATTAAGGATGAAATTTACAGGGAAGTTTAAGGGAAGACAGTGCCTAAGTCCTTCGAATTTTGCCATGCCTCTTTGTTACAGAGCGATTTAAAAAAAAAATCTATCCTGTAAGGCAAAACTGACATGGAAGATTCACATAGCTATCTAACCTCAATAAAACATAGTTTAAAGAACCATTTTCTGAACATTAACTTTTCACTGACTTTAGGCTTAATCTTATTATTTTTACATTTTAAAAATTCAGAAGATATTTACATTCCAGACATCCTGCCAGCAATAAGTAGAATACATCTTGTTACGTGTTTTCTATCAACACAGCAAAAGATTAGGGCAATCACTTGAAATCCTTTGATTTCACTGCCAGAAGAAATACTATGAAGATTAAGCATCACTACAAGCAAACAGAGGGTGTCAACAGAGAATTTAAAACTATTGACCCCCAATACTAGGACACCTATTATAAAAAACAATATAAGTCACTTAATTATTCTACTTTGTCATGCTGCTTATTTGAAAGCTACGTGATTCTTGTAAGAAGTGTTGGCTAATAAGTGGGATTTTTAAAATAATTGTGTGGAATTTCTCCATATTTATATTCCTTTTTTGAAATATAGAGTAATGACGGCAGGTATTAGCTTCACTTTGACAAACAGAATACACCGAAATAACTAAAGAAAATACAGAAAAAAAAACCTCTAAAATAAATTAAAATTTGAACTTAGGGTCTTCTTAGATTTTGATTTTCCAATTACAAGACATCACTCAAATAACAGTTACATGTGAATAACACTTCGCTATAGTTTTGGAGTTAGATATTTAAAAAACATAGTCACAGTTATTTTTATAGTCAATATGAGTGATAATGTGTGATGTTACAAGAGGCAAGTTGAAAAATAGATCCTCTATTTTCAAGTGCTAAGCAGTATATGAAGTGTGAAAAAATTCAATAAAAAGAAAAGATAAAATGTAGTATCTTCAGAATCCTTTATCTCCTAAGTAAAAATCACTGTAAAAGGATACCTCTTCTCCCAAGAAAAACAGATTCCTAGAACTGGACAGTAAATTCCTTATGACAGGGTCCAGAGTACAAGTGGATTGACTTCCACTCTTGCCAAAAAAAATAGAAAGATTTTTAAAATGCTGCAATACCTACAGAAAAGACCGAATATTTAGGCTCTACAAAGTGGAAAGTGAATGAAGTGCACCTTTGTAAAGGTGACATGGGAGGTGCGACCACATTTCTAAGAGAATGCTAGCTGACTCTCACTGTGGAAAGGCAATATTAAAATACAAGGAAGTTACTTGTATACAATATCAGAGATGCCAATTATTTTAATTATATTGTTGATACAACAAAACAAGAGCATATGTAAATGTGTGATTTAGTCTATTATTATACATATCGTCTACACCAAAGGTTACTGCTGAAAAATTAAATTAGGTTTGTCTTAGCTTCCTATGGTCCTTTTTCCTAGAACTACAATCAACTTTTTTTCTGTGCATCTCAAAATACCTAGCTTCACTGACGTAAAAGTGAAACACCCAAATCCTACATTCAAAATTCCATCTAACTAGGTAGAAAACCTCATCCTTGTCAAAATGTTTTTATTATTATTGTTAGAAGTAAGAAACTGATCTTTCCATCAAATAAATGCAGTGTAGATGTGCCAAGAAAACTAGAATAAATACCTAGTTGATTGGAAATCTTCAAGTTGACAAGGCAAATTTGCTATATAGCATCATCAGAATTTCTTGGAAAAACTAGCTAGCATAACAACTGAATGCTTGTTTATGTGTTTCTTCAGATGTGTATACGTTTTGATAGCCAAAACAATAACATTCTAAAATAGTTTTCATATTAAAATGATGTCATAACCTTTTTTAGTGCAGAAAAATAATTAGTCATGAACTGTACATGTAAGTAATCACGGGATACAGTACTTGTGAAGAATCTATATGGCCAAAAAAAGTATTAAAATTCACCCTGATCTCCTTAGATTTATCAAATTACATTGCTGAGCTCAAAAGATTGCTTCCCATCAGTTAAGTTCCACACATGTACAGTATATTTGATATAAAACTTCGCTGGAGGGTATACTGAAATATTGCACTAATTTGTGCAGAGGAGCTGACGATATAAAATGGCCTAAAGCTAGAAATGGAACCCCATGGGGAATGATGAAACACACTTTTAACAAACAACTGCTGTATTAATATAGGAAATTATTCTGTCAGTTAAATTCCTTGCAAGGACACACGTAATTAATACCATATATTGACTTTCACTACTCTTAAGAAACCTTATACTTTGGAAAAAGAATAGTTGCTTTCTACACTGACAGTCTGCTCTTTTCTGTTACCAAGCCTCACCTTAGAAAAGGCAATTTGATTTTAACAGTTCATCAATCCTAAATAAAATCACCAGGAACTAACATGCATCTGTTCACACAAAGAGCAATTTGCATGGTATTAGTTTTCTTGCCTGTCATATCTGAAAGATTTGTTTCATCTTAACTTTCCAAGTTCCAAAATCTGTACTAAAATTAAGCTAAACACCCTTGGCACACTACGGGAATTTTACATGCTTTTGTTCTCGAAAACCACGTTCTACACATTCCAGTAGGTTTGGAGTAGTAAATTTTCCAGCTTCCAGGAAAGGCAATCTTGATCTTAAACCCACAAGGGCACAAGAGTTCCAACTCCTTGCATCCCTTTGATTCAAATCTTCTATTACACTACTGCAACTGTCTATTAATAGAGCATGTTTAGCCAGAAAACACCCTAATGTATCTCCCAAGCCACAGCTATTTAGCCTAACTTCATATCTCCAGTGATGCTCAGAGGACTGGGGCTTAACTTACGAACTTAAGAACTATGTGGTTTCAGAAAGGAAAAGGAAAGTTTAGATGTTAGAATAAACAATGACTTACAAAAATACATTTTTCTACACATGCTGATGTGCCATGACACCTCTACCTCCAATTGACACAGAACATAGTTATACATACCACAGTTTGGTGGTTAACTTGAATCACTTCATCCCCAGCATGGATTTTCTTGCACCGATCTGCAGGTGACTGAATTTAAAATAAAAGAGATGATAAAGAATACAGTTCTTACTGGTCATCATCTCTCTTTCATCAGTATGATTGCTAAGCTATGTAAATCAGGTTAGACTTGTACTTACATTCTACTGTGAAATACAGAATTAAAGAAATATTTATTAAATCAATTGTTGTTGGAGAAAAAGAATCTGTACTATTGTACACAATACAATAAAATGTTAAGAGAGGTATGAATAATTTTTTTAATCAAAGGATAACCGTGTCCTATGGATTTCTTTTAAATTTCATTCTGCCAAGAGTGTCTTAATCTGCCTGACATCTCCTAAGTCTGGAAAGCCTGTCCATGTCTGAATTCTGAACCTATCAAGACTAATTGGCAATTCCTCACAAACAAACTTCACAACATTGCCTTTTTATTCTACAGTTTTTCAAGATGTTGCAGAGAACTTCAGTAAATTACTGTTCTTCAAGGAGTGCACAAGGAGTGAGGATTAGGTTAGGTACCACCTCGGAAGATCATATAAATTACATAGTACCTTAGCTTCTGGGTCATTATTAGGGTGAAAGAAACGCAACCAGAATCAAAATCCTACAAATTTCACACTTCTAAAAAGCAAAGTAGTTCTCTTCTTTGCTTTTGCCTCAAAAAACCCCACACCCCAGCAACAACAAAAAAAATCCAAACAAAAAATCCCACCCCCCCCATCAAGTGACAGTCCCCCAAAACTTTCCCTTCTTCTGCCTTCTATATTTACAGTAGACCAACTGTTTTCTGAGGGAAACGCCTCTATGTTTAGAGCAAAATAAGTTCCTTCAGCTCTTCATAGAGTGACAATGCTTTGATTTTTCTATCAATATTGTGGCTGTCAGTCTATGAAGGCACTTAATCAACTTAAAGGTAGAAGGTGAGACTGACAGTTGGAAAGGTTGACAAGGCTAAGAGAGTTGGGGCTGTTCAGCCTGGAGAAGAGAAGGCTCTGGGGTGACCTTATCATAGCCTTCCAGTACCTGAAGGGGGCCTACAGGAAGGATGGAGAGGGACTTTTCACAGGGGTGTGTAGTGATAGGACAAGGGGGAACGGTTCTAAAACTATAAGAGGGCAGATTTAGATTAGATATTAGGAAGAAATTCTTCACCATGAGGGTGGTGAAACACTGGAACAGGTTGTCCAGAGAAGTTGTGGATGACCCCTCCCTGGAAATGTTCAAGGCCAGGCTGGATGAAGCTCTGAGCAACCTGGTTTAGTGGAAGATGTCCCTGCTCATGGCAGAGGGGTTGGAACTAGATGATCTACAAGGTCCCTTCCAACCCAAATCATTCTATGATTCTACGAAAAAAAAAAGATTGCTCAGAAGCAAGTTTCCTAAAAGCTGCTATGAATTTTCCAGAAAGGAATGAAATCAAATGCATTTTCAGGTGAGACAACAGGTCGTCTAGAGAATATGCTCCAGGCCTGGAATGTGGACAGCTTGTAACAACCTATGTACCACATCCCCATTCAAAACACATGTCCCATAGCTACACCATGATTTTCTAGTACAATTCCATGTAATTCATGACCTAAGTTAAGCACAGTGTTTAAACTGAAGATATCCAAGAGAAACATGAGGCTGAAAGAAGCGTCACTCATGACTCCGTCATAGAAGACATTGCTCAGAACATCCTAAATCCAGCTGGGCTGACAGAAGTGTAATTTTACTTACGTAAAGAACAGCAGCCTTGATTTTTTGGCACTATTTCAGCATTAAAGGTATTGGATGAGTGACTTGGGGAAAAATTTTAACACTGGTGATTATGTTCTAATGAACTATCTTCTGCCTGCCATTTCACTACTCACACTTACTCATTCATACCTCTAACAATCTGTATAATCCTCCTATGTAATACTGCTATTTTATCTCAGATGTAGTTACGCCTAAGACTTTCACAATGCCATTGCAAGCAAATCTTGTGTCATTACCCTTGAATTCTACAGGACTGTATTACGATACAAACTTTCTCCTGTATTGACTTCAGCATTTGCAGCTTAAACCTCGACAAAACAGGTATTTAGTATAGCAGTTTGCCAAGCCAGCAAATACGGTCTGAGAACCTTCAAAATGGAAATGTCCGTTTTAAAAAAACTCATTGCCGTTATGCCTCAAACACACTGCAAGTTGAGGTAAAAATAATTTATACAGGAGTCTCAAGGCTGTGGTCTTATCAAGAGGATGTAACTCTTGTTCCTTACTGCTTTTTCCTCTCAAGTAAAGAATATAGACCTTGCTGTAAAGAAATAGTATCTTTTATCATCACTATTTGAGGAAAACAGAGGAGAACTGGTAAGCTCTTTCTTTTTTCAGATGTATATGCTGATCATTAAGCAAAACATCCATTCAAGAAGTCCTACTAGGAGGAACAAAATGTGTCACATCACAGCTATATCTTCATTAGCTGGTAATTCGGTTCAACAGGAAGCTGAAAAACAGGCAGAAGTACCTGTCGCTGAGGCTTGCACATTGATACCATACAAGGTATTCAGAATCTTCTTAGGATTTCTTCTTCAGAATAGATTCAGTTTTGTCCTTTAGGCTAAATGTTGTCTTTGTCCCATTCCCCCAGTATACCCACACTATCTAAAAGATCAGTTTAGACCCTCGGGAGCACATTTGTTGCATGCCCACAGTGGAGATACTGGCGTTATTTCTTCTGAAAGGCCTCTCTTCCCTGAGATCCAGGGGCAATCGGAAAACTCCAGCAGTGTGCAGTAAGTGGGGACTCTGGGAACATCCCCTTCAAGGTCACGCTCCTGCTGGAGATGCACCGTATGCTATTACTTTAGAAAATACTCTTTTCTCTAGGAAAAGCAAATTACAAAATGGCCTTTATGTGAAGAATACATTTATTTTGTGAATTAAAAGAATCTCTCCAACATGGTCTGAAAGGGCTACTCAACAAGAAACCTGTAATCTCTTGCTGGACCAATACGCCCTTTAGATTTCTTACTTCCAGACAAAAGAGAGAAGACATGAACCAGAAAGCTCAGCTTGCTCTAATGCTACAGGACCACCAGAGAGAAGCTCTTATGGGGCAGTGACCTGTGAGGAACGCTGCTCTCTCACAGTTCAAGTTTCAGAGCTCAGCTGCTTTGAACTGCAGGGCTGATGTGTTGGGAAAGATGACTCCGAATGCTGAACAGCAAGATCCAAACTTTAATGGGCTTTGTAGCTGGGCATCAAACACCTCGAATGGCAAACAGAAAAATCAGAACTGTGATTACAAAACCTACTACATTACATTAACGCAGCTAGTACTGCTGTGCTGCTGTGTTTATTAAAAAGACAAGTGCTTCTCTCTGATCTTTCAGGAAAGCGTCAGCCAGAAAGTTGTGCCAATGTCTCAATCGGAAGA